TATCACAGACGAGATACAAGAATAGACCTAACATTTTATGGGACTTGGTGTCCAACGAAAATCACGCTGGTTCTAGCGCACCTCTACATAAAAGTTTACGATTTCAGGAACTACGCTCGATACTGTGATAACACACAGCATACACACACACACACACACACACACACGTGACTGCATATAGCGATACATACATGCATTATTGTCCCGGTTTCGCTAGCAGGGAATGGAATACTGAAATGGTACGGGGGCTTCTGACGTCCCCGAAGCATGGGACAGAAAATCACATTTCATATTAGGTCTATTCTTATATCTCGTCTGAGATAATACTCAGAAATCATGCTTTATCGGTAACGTTGAGTAGTAACATTACAACTGTAATGGGGCTCTAAAGCCCTTCAAACTGGGCAACATTGACCCAGAGAAGTGGGCCGAAAAATGTCGGCGCAGGTTCTGTATTATACACTAGGGTGGCTCTTATTTTCAACTTCCGAATTTTTTTCGCGGTGGCCTCCCAAAGTAGTTCGAATTAATAAAAAAAATAATCCGTGTGAAGTTTGAGCTCGATGGGATAAGGGGAAATGGAGTTCCTGGGCCATAACCATTTAAATAATTACTTAAATACACACAAAATCCATATTACTCGAGTATTCTCTAAGTTAATGATTATATCAGAAAACATGCCAGACAAGTATTCAAATGTGCCTTGATTATTTTTTATGAATGAAGACCAAAAAAATATGCATTTGAACGCTAAAGGACTATTTCTATAAAATTTTTCAAATTTCTTGAAAACTGTACAATTCTTATAAATTGTTGTAATGAATGTTGATAAATAATGTATAATAAGGAATAAAAAGGTTAATACGAAAAAAATGGTTAATTCGTCTTCAACTGTATCTGTTTACAAAGGTTGATTTTCAGAAATGTCTCTTCTTTGTAATCAGGAAACTGTTGGCGATACTCGTTTACAATTTGGTGAATATACTCATTTTGCTCCTCATTTTTCGTAAATAGTTTATTCTAGTGTTCAATTAATTTAACAGCCCTCTACCGTATCATTAACAACTCGCAGTTTATTAACTAGTTCTAGCCCTTTAATAAAACATCTGTTTTCAGATCAAGTTGATGGTTCAGTCTATAGAAATTTGTCATCTGATTCAAATCTTTTATCAAATGCTGTAGTTTTGCTGGAACCATAAGTCAGTTTGACTGTAGGCCGGGCTACTAAAAGATTACTCAAAAGAATAAAAATAACGAAAGTACAAAACTAAATTTACGAATGTTTGACCGTATCGTCCCTTCGTTGTTCCTAAAACCTCGAGAAAAACATCTGCTGATGTACCCATTGTACCATATATTTCCTTGTCTAAACTAGTCTAAACCAACCTAATTGGAAAATAATTTAAAAAAATAATAAACTGTATGAAATTCTCAAGAAATTAAAACAATTTTTTGAAATTATCGTATAGCGTTCAAAACACAAATTACACATTTTTTCAGTCTTCATTGATAAAAAACGATCAAGGCACATTTCAATTTCCAAACAAAAGAACAAATTTTACAATATCTTCCAGACATTTTTATTTTTTCCGAAAATCGTTTGTCGCACGAAACAAAGTAGTAGAACATATACTACATAACTCCTTGTCTAAAAAACTTTTGTCTGACGTTTTCCGATATAATTAATAACATAAAGGATGATCGAGTAAAATCGATTTTTTGTGCATTTAAGTAATTATTTTAATGTTTAAGGGCACAGGAGCTCCTGTTACTCTTATCCGATCGAGCTCAAACTTCACACAGATTATTTTTTCTTAATTGGAACAGATTTATTTTTATTAATTGAAAAAGTGTTTAAAAAAATGTTCATCAAGGGTAAATAACACCTTATTATACACCAGTGAAAACAGCAGGTCACATGAACGTACCGTCAGTCGTTCGTTATTGGGCAATCGTATTGGACAGTCACCACTTTTATAGTCTTTAGCTTGTTATTACTACCAAGAAAAATGTCAAGTAATGTTAATACTTGTATGTTACTTAGCGAAGTAGAAAAAAGAGATGTAATATGGGATACTTTCAATGAAGGTTATAAATACGTCATGTAAGGAGACATTACAACAACACACGCTTCCATATTTTCTGCACTTCCTTTTCCAACTAACGCAAAAGAAGTAATGCTCGTGTGCTATGTACACGTACGTCCGTACGAATCAGGTCCAAAACCGTAAATACATATTGAAAAATCATAACGCTCATAATTATACGTTTTTCATTATAAAAAGAACGTTTTTAGTGGTATTTTGAATCAAAGAATAGAAAACTTCTCTTACAAACTTATATTAGACATAATGGGTCAGAAGTTGTAGTACAAGTGGAAAAGGAGTGATTCTACGTGAAAAAGTAGGAAAGTACTTTTGTACATATGTAAATATGTAGTATACTATTTTTCGTTTGAGACTTCGTTTTCGAGAAAATTGAATTTGAAGATTGACAGATACGCTTACGATTGAATATGACTTGGCTGTCGTGTAATATGAAAAAATGTGATCTTCCTGAAACATGCATTTTTTCCATTTACGAAGCTTTCCTAAACAATATTGGGTGACTTATGGCAAGCCTTATGCATGCCAAAACTTAGTCCATAAATACAAGGATCTATGGCGAACATATCATGCTTTTCCAAGGAAGTCGGGAATTTGACTTTTGAGCACGTTTGTACTTCATGCGTATTTAGCCCTTATGCTCAAAAGGTATTACTATAACATAACACTTAACTCAGAAACTAAGCTTCGAACGCAATTTTGTCATTCTTGGTTTTCGTCTTAGTTTTGCATGTTAAATCCACCCAGCCAACGTGTCATACATTTTTCTTAACACATTGTACATCTGGTTACATACAAACAATATGAAAGTACTTAAGTACTTAACATATTCGCAGCCAGCGGTTTTGAGAGATACTTAGCTGAATACCGCGTATAATTTTCAAAAGTCTATAGCTGAAATTCGCAGGGTTCTACTATTTAAAAGTATAACGGATTACAATTCATGTTTTTTAACATTGAACTACCTTAGCTAGTTACCATATAAAAAGAATATCTAACCTAACAAAAATTTTAAATCAAGATAATAATCATCTTGTTAAAAAGAGACGGGTGATGAATGCTACAGATTTTGAAATGACTTAGAACTAAGTTACCGGTACTCAGCTAAAGATTTTAAAATGACGTAGTACGTAGACGGTTACGAATGTGTTAAGATAAGAAGTGGCTATTACCCGTGAAAGCATTTCTTTTGCATTTCCTTGTCACCACCTGTAACCTTTATCCTAAAGAAATGTTAAAATTACACACTAGTATTTGATAATGGTTTTCTTTATTATAACTTGTTTATATTTCTGTAACAAACAGTTAGACTGTGAAAAATTTACATTGGTTGTCAGTTTAATAATTTATGCATGTATAAGTGATTTTGTACTGACAAACGTAAATGAAGTGACTCATTTCATAACCTTTTATATGTAATATTTGTAACGATAACCGACACATTACATGAGAAGTATCGATTTCGAAATTACGAAAAGTACGATACAATCGAGTCACATTTATAAAGGAATAAATTAATATTTACATGTTTGACGTTTTGCGCTGTAACTCATTTCTGGAATAATTCTCTTGCGAGAGACAAAGAGAGAAAGAGAAGAAAAAGAGACTTAAAGTCGATAAAATGAGAAAGAAACTCAGAGATGCAGTCGGAGTTGGTTGGTAGATCGGCGGTACAGACCCGAGGAAACGCGTCGAAAGAAAGAAATAAGATGGTTTAGGAGGCTGTTACGTAGAAGAAATGGCGAGGAGAAGAGAGCGGTGAATAAAAGGATGTATGGTAGGGTGTGGAAGCGAGAAGACGGTAAGGAATAAAAGAAGAGGGAACGGAATGGAAGAGAAACGGGAAGGAAAAAGGAAGGGCACAAGGAGCGACAGGTGCCCAATCGCCCACGTAGGTTCTCTCTTTATGGTGCTGGAGAGACGGTAGAAGGGTGAAGAAGACGACGAGGACGACGAGCCGGCTTCCTTGTGCTGGTGAAGAAGCCGATACTCGTTCTATACGCCAAGTGCACTCGCCACAGGATGAACATAGTGGGGCAAGGAGATCCATTGGCGTATACTTCTACTTTCTTATTATGAACTAAATGTCTCGTTTCTTTCTCTCCTTTATAGGATTAAAACTCCTAGCTCTATGGTTTTTTAAAATACCGCATCTATCGTTCGATTAGGAAAAACGGTATTGAAAATAAGTAAATATATTTGTTTCGCTTGCATTAAATGAAGGTTTTACCGACTCTGATCAAATTGTCGGAAGAGACTACGCTATTGAAAAAATCTATAGCGGGCCATGTACTGTGAGTGGGAAAAGAGGTAAAGAAGGGGAAGGGCTACCCATTCGGTAGCTGGTAACCCGTCGCAAGGTCAAGATCAGTCGGTTAATCCTATCCAGTCAGCCGAGGCCCTTGCACCTTGGAGGACGAGCGACCCTCACGCACGGAACTGAAATTTCATTTTACAATCTTATAATATAGTTTCCATTTGTTGTATTCTATAAATTTGTTTCGAGTGTAGTCTAAATGCGGCACCGTTCTATTTCGAAAATCTCAGTGCTTCATCGGTCACGTGATGAGTCCTAATTAATCGATATATCGATAATATTAACTTGTGGGGTAATAAATATAACACGGCCCAAATGTTGTTTTATTTTTAAGTCTGCTACAACATTATACTTAGTATTCTCTGGTCTTGCAATTCGCGGGCAAATCATTTCGGGGATTTGTGAAAACATATAGTATTGTCATAAATTTCAATCCCTCTACCGACAAACAACAAAACATTGCGCGTTCAATATCAACGATTAATCTGTCATCGTGGGATCAGTTAAAGACAGTGTTTATAGTGGAGAAAACTGTACTTGTGACTTTTTCAACACATTCCCTCTAGGGGGCCTCTGTTATGGAAACCTGCGTTCTGATACCTAAAGAGTTTTCTCTGGTTCATGCTAACGATCAGTCCATCCACAAGGGTCTCTTCAAGAATGATTCAGGAAGCCTAATCACGGACGTCCGGATATCTGTTTGGTCGAATGTACTTATCCCGTCAGGGACGTTGATTTATCCCTTTCAGGGATCCATTCGATTTGACAAGATTGACCTCTATTCTCTCCTTGATGATAACGATGTAAGTAATCGTTACCGCAAACATGTCATTATGTCACTTTTTCAAACCGTTCACGACGATTACAGTACAAATGTCCAATCACATCTTGTTTCTTCTGTCTAACTCATCAGTTTCAAGGACGAACAAGGAAGACATAAGACAGTAGATAATCATACTTGAACTCGCTCAAGTTATGAAATCAAAGAATTATTATCTTGGAATTCTTATGATTTTTCATCCATTCCTTACATTGTACTACTTTTTCTTTAACTTTACAGTACTATTTTAAAAGTTTATCCCCATCGTTGTAGTAGCAATATAAAAATGATGATACAAACTTTGTAACATACGTGTGACATTCTATTGTTTTAACTTATTCAATTTTGTGTTACTCCAATTGTTTGAAATAACGTTTAATTTTTAAATTTTTCTTTTTCATAACGTTTCAATCGATGACATGATTCATATCACTTGAATTACCTAAGAAATGAAGGAATTCTTAGATTTAAAAGTCAGAGAAACGTTATTCACTTATACAACTTTTATAAAGGCTTTTAATTTGCAAATAATATGTACTACATTACATATAGTTCACAACTATGGACCATGGATCATTTAACATATGGTCCGGAATATTCTGATCTTAGGTAATAGTCACTTGTATATTACCTCGTTTGTAAGTCATGTTAGACATTATATTTTGCAAAGTACAGTCTACAATTTTGTCAGGTCTATATTAGTATCACAAAATAAAAGAAACTTAATAAACTGATTTTTTCTAGGTTTACAACTGTTTACATACATTCGACTATATGCTAAAGAAATCTATACTATTGGTAAAATTGTAAATGACACCGATCTGGAAACATTTAATGTACCTTCGTTTTCGAATGTTCTTTCCACTTTCCAATTTTTTTCAAATCGACTTGAAATAGCGCCAATTTTTTCAACGGTTAAATTAATTTCATGTATATTTCTAATAATATGTAGGTTATCATTAATGATTCACGAATTTAAATGATCTTGTAATCGTAAACATAATAAATTTATATACCAGTTGTACCTATAAAGTACTATAATTTTATAAATTTTATATATAGCACACAAATTACTATTCAATTTACTTCATTTTAATTCTGCAAACTCTAATCTAAATTTCGTCATGAAAGTAATTGATGAAACTCTATACCTACAATTTGAAGATGTAACAGGGGCATTGATAATCGAAATCCTTCTGTTAATCTGTCAAAAATTAAGAGGAATAAATTTTGGAATTTTTGAAAGTTTACGTCAAGCTTAGTCATCCTTCCAATGCGGTTTTATAAAATTTCAATAAATGTGACATAAGAAAAAGAAAATCTTATGCTTTTCCATAATTACTTTTGGTTACAGATCAGACGCGAATATGGGTGCTACGATGAAGTATTCCTTTCAAACTATAGCCTTAACAAACGCCAATGCAATTGGATAAGATTCCTTCGAATCGTGCAGACTTACAACGAGCAAGTAAACTTAATCGGTACCAAAGTAAAAGGTAAGACAAAAAAAGCACGTTGCAACGGATCGCGTTGTATAATTACACAATACATCTATGATACACCTCTTTACATGAAGTGTAACGTATTCTAATCTTCAAGCGACTCAAAATATTTGGTAAACACGGATTTAAATAGTGTGTGGTAAACGAAACAAAGCAAAGTCCGTTTTAATGTACTATACATTGGCACAATTATTTAGAAATACAAAAGACACAATACTAGACATACAAAGAAATAAAGATCTGATATAAAGTACAGTGGACTCTAACAATATTGCCACTAAACATATTGCCATGCGTGGCACTTCCCCTGCACACGTATTTTCGTGCACAAAAATTCGTTCTCCCACCACGTTGCATACGCCGGCACACCAGTAGGATCCAGCTTTTGCGCAGGCGCTGAGACCGAGGCTATGACGATAGAACTTAGCATGGAGGGGGCTCTGAACACATTGCCATTTTACTCTCCTACAACCCCGACTATGGCAATATAGTTAGAGTCCACTGTAATGATAACACTAATATACATAGTACCGTTTCAATGTTAATAACTAAACGATCAATTATAAAATCCTAATTTTTGAAATACATATATCCTTTGGAATTGATACAATATCTGCTTATTTGAATTATGCGATGGAATAATCTAAAGTTTACTTCTGTACGGTGTCTATGTGATAATTGTGATAAAAATTGTTAATTTACAAGACTTTAAAGCCAAAGTCACACTAGCGGTCAAAGGTACGGTCAGATCACGATCAGTTGGAATTTAGACTATATCTCTCTCGTTGGACTACGTGTGAGCGTTAAAAACCGCTGCCTGGTTTGACGTGATCTGACCGTACCGTGACCGCTAGGGTGAATCTGGCTTAACTCACTTCCCAAATAAAACAAAAACGTCATATATATATATGTCCCGAAAACGTACGTTCCGGACGTTCGGTTCATTCAGAGGATGTCTCGAAAAGGTCCACATGTCCCCCCTATATCCTCGTTAAGATCTTTAAATGTCCTAGGAAGGTCCTATTTACCAAATGGAACGTCCTGTATCAACATTCTAAGAACACTTTCCGAATGTATAAAAGTAACATTTTCTGTACTTTTTGGAAACGTTTACAGAGTTTTTAAAAACGCTATGGTAACGTCTTAAAAGGCGTATAAGAAACTTTCCCAAAGTTTTAAAATTACGGTTAGATTTCATTGTATGCAAGGTGATAGAAGTTTTTTTTTTATTAGAGGGGGAAAATGCATTCCGCACCATCAGAAGGCTCATGCTGCTCCTTCTGGTGTGCGGAACTCTGGTTTCGTGCAGTATACCCGCTAAAAACACTCCTTCATGTCAGCGCCCAGGGTTCCGCGAATTTCCCCGTCTTATGGAGGTAGGTACTTAACAGGCCGTGCTCTGTCAAAAGTTGCGTCAAATAATAATTTACCACGCCATGTTGACGATTGGTCCAAACGGTGAGCTCGCCGATTAGGCAAGCAGTCCATATACCGTGCGATTCTCGCGTCCATCGGTCCTGTCAGGTCGTCAGGGTGTTGGCTCTGGCAGTATTTTTGGCACACGTCAAGCGGAGAGCAGCCTTCTGCTGGTGGACAAAGCGTCGCTTCTGAATGATGACCCCACGCGATCAGAAGGACCCCTTTTCGTTGCACTGCGACGAGGCGCTTGCGATACTTTTCGTGTCACATCGCATCGGCCCACACCTCGGCGCCGTACAGCATAGTAGCTTCGGCGGTGCGCATAAGGAGTTGCCTCTTGCAGGATCGCGGGCCTCCAATGTTTGCCATGATCCTGCTCAGTGACGCCGTCACCGCCGCCGCTTTGTCCGCCATACGTCTGATCTGTTCTTAGGAGGTGAGCTTGGTATCGAGTATCACCTCCAGGTACTTCACAGTTGTCTTGATCTGGACCATCACGTCTCCCATCTGCATAGGGCACAAGGTGTCGATGCGCCTCTTCGCGAGCATCACGATCTCGGTCTTTGCTACCACGAGTTCCAATCTATGGTCGTCCATCTAAGAGCGAACGCATAATTGAGTCACATCCGTGCCGCGGTCACATCTCTTGCGATAACAGCAGCAACGCCATCTGCGTACCCAATCAGGAAAGTGCCCTCAGGCATATTCATACGTAGGATGCCGTCATAGAAGATGTAAGGTAATAGAAGCTAGGTTAGGTTGGTTTGTGTTTAATAAATAACAGATTAACTTTCCTGGGATTTCCGCAGTTAGTAGAAATTAGGTCAAGTTAGTTTCTGTTAATAAATAAAAGGTTAAATTTCCTATAAGGAATTATAATGAAAATATAGGTCTGGGGGTTATGATCTGTGTTTACATTGTGTTTATTTTTATTTTCAGAGCAAAATAATGATTGTGTGTTGGCTAGAGACAGTAAATGAAAAAAAATCACCGTTGGTTAGAGAGAGTTAGAAAAAATCACTTACTCAAAGGAAAGTACCGATTCTGTGTTGGTTAGAGACAGTTTAAGAAAATGTTTTTTCAAATTTCTTGAGGTTTCCACACAAAACTACTAGTGTCGTTAGACTTTTGTATTAGTTCTTTATGAAATAACACCTTGCTCACGTGGATACATCACCTTGCATGGAATGAAATTATTGAGCCAAAATTACTAAACAAACCATCCGTAATTTAAATCCTACGAACATTCGTAAGACTTAAAAGACAGACATTCCTAAAACATGTAAAATTTAAGTCTTGAGAACATCCGTAGGATTTCCGAGTCGGACGTTTCTAGAACATCCGAAATTGAAGTCTTACAAACATCCTAGGGATGTTCAAAATGGACGTAGGATATAAACTGGACATGAAACTGACGTCCTTTGAATGTACAGTGCTATCTGGGAAAAGGAATTTCTAAAAGTATCCCCTACGCCACAAAATTGAAGGATCACTAAATTTCGACCGAAAAATTGCCAATATTTATTTTATGTAATATAATATGAATTTTATGTAACTTCCTAAAAAAAAATCGTATCAGACTATCTGGGCTCGTTTTAAAGCGTGAAGCCTCTACTTTTGTAAACTTAAACTTAATTTTTTGGAATATCATTTTTTTTTGTAGGACGCAGTAAAAAACTAAAGTTGCTTTCTTTTATTTCAAATTTCACAAAATTAAGCGACTCTACAGAGTTTAAAAAAATTTCTGGGGAATTCGGTTTGAGATGACTTTCTACCGGAAAGTTTTATCACACTTTAAATAAAATGTGAACTGCCGGCATTAGCATAACTCAAGGTACGCGACGAGGAGGTTGCACGGTCGGACTTGTATCTTGTGTCTGATGTGTGTATAATGCATGTTTAGTGTGTGTTTAGATTGTGTTTAGTGCGTGTATTTAGTATATGTGGTGTGTGTGCGCGTGCAGCGTGTATATACTTGCGTTTAGTGTTTTTACAAATGAGTAGTACCCTTTCGTTGTTTTATCACTTATTGCCAAGATTCGTGTATGTCGGTTCATGATTTACTAAATACTAGTATCATCCATCACATTTTCAGTTGTAGTAGAAATATAATAAGCAGTTTAAAAAAATATAGAAAAAAGAAAAAAATTTATGAACATTTAAAGAAAAAAAAATTAATTTTCCGGATTTCAAACCATCGATACAGTGGTTTAAGAACCTAGCACATAACCACCTTCGCCAGCATAGCTGTTGCAACTTTTTTTTCTATCATACTCGAGTTTTTACAATTTGTCCAGGTGTGGATATTTGGTAAATTCGTTTAATGGTTTGGTGATAATAGCACGTAGACACTTGTCCCACTGGAGAAACGTCGGTGATAATTGTTTAAATGCAATTGTTTTTTTTTTTAAATTGTGAAGATTTTACTCTAAGCAAAATAGTAGGTCCATCGAGTGTTTTCTCCGTAATCTTTTGGGTTGATCAGTGGAGTAGAATTCCTTGGCTGTAGTATTGAGATGATGATTCAGTCTGGTTTTGTAATTTCTGCATAGCTTCGTTATTTCATCAGAGACCGATATTACGTTTAAGTCTTCCCGAATTTCATCATTACAAACGTCCCATGGACCATTAAGGGCGGAGACTTCGTCGGCTGTGAGCTGTGTGCAAGCGCTCACACAGTCAACGAAAACCGTGTATATATGTGTATATATATGCGATGCACGAGTCAGACAGTCTATTTTGTAGAATTGAACTTCTGCTTTGATAATTGCACAAATGAAGTTTTTGCGGTTATAGCACACACGGGTAGACTTCATTATAGGGTGGTCTGGTCCTCAGAAATACCAATAAACAGCATATGTTGAAAGAATTGGAATTTTATAAAGTGTGCGATTGGGGTAGACACCGATGTAAACACACAAGATGGCTGCTCAAATCACATTTTGTCAAATATCACACGATTTAATGGTTTTCTCATCAAAAGCAGACCAGACCACCCTGCATACCACTATCACACTATCTTGGAAATGCGATTTTTGTTAATTAATAACTTCTGAAAGGCGTAAGTTGGATTCTACGATTTGATGCGTTCAGACCAGTGATGGGCAACTCAGCGCCCGCTAAACTCATTAGCGGGCAACAACGTGCAGCATGCTGGCATATGGCAGTGGTGGGTGAAATGTGTGAATGAGAGCACGTATCTATTATTTTCTTCACACACAAATATGTCGTGAATCACAACTCGTGACTCGTGTTGTGTCCTGCTTCGCAACCCCTCCACAGGATTCCGACATGTATCGTATGTCCCCAAGAATGAAAATTTCGACGACAAATGTATGAAACTATTCCATATGAAGCTTTGAACATCGTACGGAAGATTTACAAGTTACAGAAGAGGGAATTATTTTTATTGTTATATGTCTGAATAATATTTAAGCCATGTTTTATTGAATTTATGCACATATTGTTACAAATACATTGTAGACTCGTATATATATAAGTAGTATTTAAGGCAATTGTTGTGAAATTTATTCAAATACTATTGTAAATTGTGTATTTTCATTAGATTTTTTCAA